TTGTAACAGACTGACAGTGTCTATCAAGTAGTGCTAAAGGCTTTTCTGCATTTGTGTAGAGTTGTCCAAGTTCCTTTACTGACAGCCATTGCTGTATTGGTATTTCATAGTGTACAGAACTGTTGTTTTTGAAGCATTTTCAGAGTTCACTCTTGCAATAAAAGTTTGTTTTGGTTCTTATGTAGGAGAGAATTCATTGAAAATTAATTAAAATCATTGTTAAAACACTTATTCACTGTTAAGAACAATTTTTACTAAGCTTGATGTATTACATATCAGGACTGAGATAAAGAATGTGAGCAGAAGTGGGAAAATGCTATTAGGATTTCGTGGCATATCTGTACCTTACCACCTGTAAATTAAAATAGCACATAAGATGGAGAAGATCTAATTATGTGCTGTAGGGAGTGGGCTGTTAACTGGGGCAGCAACTGTCTTACAGCAATAACCAACAACTCCAGAGGGTTTTTTTTGTAGTGAAAAGCCTAAGATCTGTGCCATTAGAATGAGTACACTAACTTCCATTATAACTGTTATGTTATCAGAGTGTTTGCTGTGTCTAAGGTAAGATGGATCTTTAATGTGTCCTTAGCAACATGTCACTCATCCAAATCCTAAAAGAAACAAGGTGGAATTTTGGTGGGGATTTTCTATGTGGAGGATCTGTCAGGTGACCCTCTGGAGGAAGCAGTGCTGTGATCCTGGATCAAACAGCAACAGCTGATGCTCGTTCCATGGGGTGTGTCCTAGAGTGAGGTCCATGCTGAGTCATTCCCTAGTAGGAAACTTGCTGCATTTCAGGGATTCGGAGTCTTGAGCTGTCACAGTCAAGTGGTGGTGTGCTGAAGGTCAGATTCTTCTGAATAAGTACTTGTTTTGGTGAATGAAAACCTCTATTCTAGAAAGCCCTGTTTTGATTTTCTTGTAAAATAGTTGTGTAACCCTTTCTGCTAGGAAGGATTTCAAACTTTGCCCAAAAGTGAAGTCACTCAAGTATATGTGTGAAACTGGGTTTATTTTCTGGTTGATAGATAGAAGTAGATGCAGCTGGCTGCGAAGACTTTAACAACATCATTCCTTTTGGCAGAGTAAATGTACTGTGGTGGAGCAGGAGAAAAACAAGTTTGTTATCTAGTTTCTGCCCTCCTGATGACTCTGAAGGATTATCATCCCTCACTGTCACCCCAGAGTGGCCAGCCAGTAAATTTTATTGCAATGATTTAGTAAAATGAAGAAATTGGCAAACACTTCTATTAATCTAACGCTGTATTATCTCAGCTCCCTCATTTTTCCATGGTTCTGTCTTAGAGGCTCCCATTAAACTTCTCTGCCATTTTCAAATAATTCCCTTCAATCCGTAGTGAACAGGTGAAGCACATCAGAAGTTACAAATTTCCTTATGTTGGGCTCCAATAAATTTAGTAGTAGCTCCAACACATCCAGAATTAATCTTGGAGGTTTGATCATTGTATTGTGAACCTCATCAGCCAGAACATTGCCTCGGTGTCTTTCCTGGAACAGTTGGTACAAATAAACAGAAAAGGAGTGCAGTTTCTCTAGCAACAAGGATGGTGAGATAATTAACTCCTGTCTTCCTGACAAGTTGTGAATTGTGCACTGTACTGAATCTTGAAGTGGGCTATGGCAGCACCAGCTTTTGTGTGTCTGTAATACTGGAAATACTTCCCAAGATGCTACCGAGGAGTGGAGAAGGCAGTGGGAGCAGATCTTGGTGGTTATGTGGGAAGTAGGGAGGGGTAGAATCCCTGGTGCCAGCTCTGTGGGGTAAAGGAGCATTAAGGTTGGCAGTTCATTAAGGACAGAGTCTCCCAAACACAAGAGCAATGCAGGAATGCAGGGAGGTTGATTGGGAAGACTCTCTTGTCTTTGCAGGAATCTTATGGCTGCATCCTGATGCAGTGCAAGGGGGGAGAAGCAGGTGTGGGCTACAAAGGAAGAATCTCTAAACACTGGCCAGGGCTGTAGGGATCTTGTTTGTAAAGCAGATCTGTTCTCAGGGAGGGTTCAGGGAGGAGAAGAGCAGCAGTGGGAGTTGCAGACCCATGCAGTTCCTCGAGCCACATGTGCTGCATCCCAGGATGCAGGAGGCTGACTGGTACATTTTGAGGCTGTTTGCTCACCTTTGGAAGGTGACAGAGCACAGGAAGTCTGCAGCAATGGGAGGTAAATACTGCATTTATCTGTCAGAAGGGTGATCTAGGAGAGCCTGGGCTGCTCAGTTCCACTGCACTCCTTGGAAAAATCATGGAGCAAGCCCCCTTGGAATGTGTTCTTGGGTGCATGAAGGAGAAGTGGGGGACTGGAAAGAGTCAGCATGGATTTGCTGATGCTAAATCATGCCTGACCAGCCTGTTTGAGTTCTGTGATAAGTTTGTGAGTAAAGTTGAACATAACTGAATAGCAGTTTGCTGTGTAAAGAGTAAAGTAGGAATTTCTACCTGGTCATACATTTTCTCCCTCCTTCCTGCATTTTGAGGGAAGTGAGTATTGAAGTTCAGTATAGATATGTTAAATCTTTGGAATTAGTTAAATTAGGCTAGTGATACTTATCTTCCCTCCAAATTCATTATTGCTGGTTTAATTTTGCATAAGGTTGTGGCTATACTAGAGATAACTCTTGGAGTTAGTTCTTTTCAAAAGACATACAAGACAGGCAATAAATAAATTCAGTCGCCGGAAAACCCTGGAATAAAGCATGAGTTAGAATGTGTTTATTCCTGGCTGATGGAGTAGAACAAATTGGTTGAGGAAAAACACATAGAGCATTCTAATAAATGCACTACTTCCAGGGTATTTTTAAAAAGGTAAAAAATTATGCAGCACTGAATTATCTCAGCCATATCTTTGTGTGTTGTTGCTTAGTTGATTTCTCAGTGCGGAAGTGAGCTTAGCATTGCAGAACTTGAAGTAGTGATGTTTTAAATGTTGTCAAGTTGGACTCTCTTGCTTTTCCTCTGCTAGTTCTTATGGAATGTGCTTGCAGAGTATTAAATTCAGGGGTTTGGGGGTCATTTTGTAAACTCTGTATTTTGTGACCGGTTTCTTTAGACAACTTAGTGCAGTTGCTTACTGCTAATCTGTATTTTCCTTCATGCCTAAAATGACTATTGTGCAAGTGTTACTTGAAGATTTCAGCTGAATTGCTGACAAACAGCAATTCAACTTCACCTATCCTAAAAGTGAAGAGTGTGGGACAGGTAGCAGAGGGTTACAATGGTTTGTTTAGTGGCTGCTGCCAGTTTCTGCCTATATTCTGGCATTTTTTTGCTGATAACTTTCAAGTCCTTTTTCTGGACTTTCCAGTTAAGATCTTTGAGAATCCACACTGTTATCCCTCTCTGTTATTCCTGGTTGAGGAAACAGGTTGTGCTGACTAATGTCTGTAACATTTACAAAAGAAATAGCTTTTGTTTCACAGTAGAAATGTGTTACAGTGGTAATCAGATAATTCACACTATCCCTGCTTGTTACAGTGTGACTGGAATACATACCAGTTCTGCTTCTGAGCTGTGTACCAAATTTTTTTTATCTGCCTTCAGCTTCTCTGTGCAGTGTTCTTTCTTAGCCATCCATTTTTGCAAAGTTTTATCATGCATCATGAGAAAATGTCTTGCATTTCAGGTTATCCACTGCCAGAGATTTGGATTTTTGTGTTCTTTGTAAAGAACTCCTGTTGTTGATCTTTGCAGCTGTTATTACTACAAATGAGTAATTGTATTTTAAGTATTATGTAAAACAAAGGCAGCCAGAAAGCAAGCCAGAATTACAGTTCTAGTAGGGTGGCTTTCATAGTTTGAAATCTAGAAAATACTGGTCATGTGTGGGAGGATGGCTGGTTCTTCTTTGAAGTTAAATTTTAGATATTTATTACAGTAACTGTCTGGGGGTAAAGGGTATGTGGGAGGCATTGCTGAAATTCCCAAAGTTGAAGATGCAGTAAGGAGTTTTGAAAGGATAAATATTTTACTGCAAAAGTATCTTTAAAAAAAATAAGATTTAAATTGATAGTCCTTGGGGACAGACAGTCCATTCTCTTCCAAAGATACTAGTGGTAGGATTTCCTTCCATGTTTGCACACATCTTGCACATGAAATGCAGTGCTTCTGGTTGTTACAGTTTTGAACAAAAAGCTATTTTTCCTTCCACCCCCCCCACCTTCTTTAAATTAAGGATGTACTTGCCATGTCTCATGTTGTAATCCTTTCAGAAGCAGCAGGAGCAATGGACTATTTCTGACTTGCCCATGCAACAGTCAGCAGGAAAAAGTAATGTAATGAAAATTAGGAGCTCTGGGAGCTAGAACTCAGAAATTCAGGAGTCTGACAGTAAATAGGCTGCTAGTATGTTTCTAGTTCTTATCAGCTGCCCATCTAAGTTCTTACCTTATCTGTGACATTATGTACTCTTGTCCCAAATAGGAGACTCACTGGTCATCGATGGTTTTTTCTTCCATATCTTTATTTTTATGTGCATGTACAGTACATACAAAACCCACATTTAATAAAATGTCTTTAAAAATCATCTTGCTTCAACCTCCACAAAAACAGTTTCTGTGTTGGACAGTGGTGAAAGCTGTGACATTTGCATGACTTGGTAAACAAGATCACCCTTCCTTGATGAAATGCAGTTGGTGACTTTCAAACCTTTTGTGGATCTGGGGATACATCAGCAGCTCTGTTCCTCTGTTCTCCAAATAGACCCGACTGGTTTCCTTTTTCAGAAAGTTGGAAGTCTGGAAGACTGCTTATTTTTGGATGACTGGGTGCAGCAGTGCTCCACATGCATTTTTCTGTTATGAGAGTGTGTGTTGGTGCTCAGTGTACATCAAGCACTTATTTCCAGGGAAGCAAGAATGTTCTCTCCCAGAACTTGAAGGCAGAGCCTTTGGCTTTCATTTTGTAATTTAACTTCTTGCAGTAAGAAAGAGGGATTGATTTCTTTTCTATGGTTATGTCTGTGCTTCAGCAGATCCTGGAGATCACAGTGGTTTCTTCATTCATGCATTTTCCACATCCTCCCCTATGCTCTCATGCCTTGTTGGCATCTGCCTGGAGGGTTCATTTCTGTCTTCTTGCACCCTAAAACATTGTTCAGGAGTAGAGATGTTAATCAAAACCATCCCGAAGCCTCTTTGAAGAGGTTTTGTGTCAGGATACTTTTAAACTGCTCTAAGCTGCTCTAGAACTGCACCCAGGTGAAGTCCATTACTTCAGTCTTGCTGGTGATGCAAGAGGTGTGGGAGCTACTCGGTGTTTTTTCATAGCATTTGTGCTAATTCACATCCAAGGTTTGAATGATTTGATTCTACCCAGAGGCACAAAGGTGTCTGGGACTCCTGGGCATCTCCATGAGGAGAGAGGGGAGCCACTGGGATGGACAGTGAAAAGAGAAAGCAGTGCATACTTCCCCAGATTTTTTTCTCCCTAGCTTTCTACTCTTACCTGTTGATGCTGGAGGGAAAAGGAGAGCCCTTTATCTGTTGCATTCACTGCTGGAGGGAGAGGTACTCACGTCATCTCATAGTCGGTGTCCTTGCTTTCCCGGCAGCAGCAGCAATAGGCAATGATCCCAATCACCACAATGGCAGCAACAACTCCCCCAATGATGCCAGCATACAGAGCTATGTTCATGGATGCTGAGTGGGAAGGGAGGAGTTAGCAGGGGGAATGATGTCTAAGGGGATCAGCACAATCACTGCACTTCAAACCCCACCAAACAATGTGGAAGCCACATTTGTTTGACTGCAGCAACTGGAAATAATTCTCTACTGGGTAGTACAGGAGCAGTTAGCTACTGACAGGGAACTGAACACCTGCTTTTCTTTGTCTATAAAATTTTGTTTCAGACATCGGAAATTCAGTGCTGTCTGACTCTACAGAGCTTTTTTTTTGTCATTTTTGGACTAACCCAATGAGCTAGTGAGTGCTCTACCAGCATGTAAACCACTGGAGAGGGTCTCTTAAAGGTGTGCAGAAACCAAATGATAACATTCCCCTCCTTTAATGCTTTGACTCTGAGCTAAGATGTTCTCTCTGGTACTTCTCTTGCCCAAGGCAGCCCCATCTCTTACGTGGCACAACGCTGACTGTCATGTTGCAAAACTCCGTTCCCACAACATTTGTTGCAGTGCAGATGTAAAAGCCAGAGGTGTCTGCTGAGATGTTCTTCAGAGTTATTTGTTGCCCTGTTGTGAAACACAAATCAGGCCAAAAAAGATAAGAATTAAAGCAGGGAAGAAAGTAGCAACAGCAGCCCTCCAGTTGCAGCCCAGGGTGGCTGGGGTGATGAGAGGTTATTAAAGCTGATGGATTGCTCTGCCTTGCTTGGGAGCCACCATGCTCATCCCTAGGTTTTAGAGTGATTTGTGGGAGGATAAACAGAAGTGTGCTGTTTTGATTACAGGGAACATGTGGTATTTGAACATTTCTTTTAGAAAGAAAATTGTAGGTGGAGGGTAGAGAAGTGTCAGTGCTTAGGGAAAGCTTTTTTTTTTTTGGTGCTGGATTTTCAGAAATGTCAGATACCCAAATCAGGACCTGGCTCTGAGAACTGGCCATCTTGATGAATTAACTTGTTCAACAAGAGAAAGCTCTTCAGTCCTGCAGCTCCTAGAAGTTCAGATATCAATTATTTAGCAGTGGGGAGAAAAGTTTTCTAGTCATAAGAAGCCACACTGGCTATGTAAATAAAGAACTCTAGTGATAGCATTGCAGTGATGCTGATGCTTTCTGTCCAGCCTCACACAGTTCAGAACCACAGGCTGAAGCTCAGCTCTGTCTGCTCAGGCAGTCAGTTTGTCTGTTACATCTCCACCTGATAAGGGTATGTGTAGTCCATGCCGTTTGCTTGTGAGAGAGGTCCAGATCCCTTCTCTGAAAGCAAAAGACTGAATACTTTTTAATTACTTTGTTGTTTCCCTGAGATCTCACTTTTTTTGCATTGAGGATTTGGTGGCACCTAGTGCCAGATAGTAGAAGAGCATGCAAACTGAGAAATGACAGGCCATATGCTTGCTTGATTTTTAGTTTTTTTATTTTCTTTCAGTCTCTGCATACTCCTTATATTTACTTGTCTCCCTCCTGGGTTTTTTTTGGGATCTTTTTTTGGTGGGGTGTGTGTGTGATGTTTGTAGCTCTCAAAATCTCAGTCTAGAAGTGGAATTTAAATGCTTCTGATAAATCAAAAGTGATTGAGTGAATGAAGTGGGGAAAAATGTGGGTCAGGTACTGTGAGCTCTGAAGTGTCTCCTGAGGGGGTTCTGCATGCTTTGCAGCAGTGGGATTTGCTTAGCACAGAAGGCAATTACCTGTAGTGACAACAGGGCACCCAGCCAGCCTGGGTCACCTGGGGACACTCAGCACAGGGCTTGGCCATGGGTGCTCCGATGAGAGCAGAAATGAGGTGGGAATGGGCCAGCAGAGACTCCTGTCCCAGGGAAGAGCGGGGTGACAGCAGAAGCTGCTGCTGTGACAAGTCCCCGCTGTGCTCAGGGCTGTGTGTGATGTGCTGGCACCACTTAGTGGCCATTGAAATGAATGAAGTTCCTGCCCCTGGTGACACATATTTTATGCAAGAATCGGCTGCGAGTGTGGAATATCCTGTGGAGTCTGATCATCTTAGTTTACTTCCCTTAAACCAGGAAGGGTAGGTACAGACACTTAGTCTTCCTGAAGCTGGACAGGCCAGGAAAAATAATTGTTTAATGAAATAAATCTGAGTCCTCTGTCACTGATACACTTAAAAGAGTCTTAAACCCTTGTTTCTGTAGAAATGGTTCCTGTTGTAGAAATTCAGCTCCTTTTTGCTTCCAGATTCTAACTTAAAATGAAAGCAAATAAAATATAAGGGCCTGTGTGTCAGTCCTGAAGGACCAGAAGCCTTTTTCATGCTCAAAGTAGCAATGGTGTAACTTTCTCATACCCTCTTCCTCTAGGTGAGGGGTTATCTCTGGAAGAAAGCTTCCAGAGCCAGCTTTTGTTTCCTTGAGTTTAGAAAGAGATCTGCTTGTTGTCAAGCAAGCTGGGATGTAAAGACAGTTAGAAAACTCAGTGTTGTTCCTCATATTATGTCTTACTCCCAGCAATTGAGAAATAATTCCTGTTTCCAGAGCCATCCATCTTCCTCACTAGGGGAGAGATGGAGTTTAAGTCTTTCTGACCATTCTTACTTCAGGTAAGAGTCCTTTTTCCCCTGCTAAGTTACTCCTGAGCATGTCCAATATCAAAAGGACAACTTTTCAAACTCCTGTTCAGAGAACATCCTAGAATAAGCCTTAAGGGTGTTTTTGTATTTGCATTTTAAAATCTTTCCAGCCCTCAACTGCAGAGAGCTCAATGCCTTGATTGTCTTTGATTTGATGTCTTGATGTCTTTGGATTTCCCATACCTTCTGCGTATGGTAGCAAACGGGGCTCATTTTGCATATTGAAGCTTTTCCAGGTGTATCTGGGTGTTGGGGAGCCCTCGTGAGAAGCACAGGTCAGGTTGATTGTTTGTCCATATTCTGGTGTCCCCAGAATCTTGCATTCAGGCTTCGATGGTGCAACTGAAGGAAGAAAAGAGGAACTGTATTAATCAATTAATTAAGCAGTTTCTTGTTTCAGCCCATCTGCATCTGTGGGTTTTATTCTTGCAAGCAGAGGCTGGTCTTGCACCTGCCACTTTCTTCTTAAAGGAACTAAAAGTGAGTTTGAATCTAATTTGTTTCTAATTTGTTTTTCCTTTTTTGGCACTGGAAAGCCAAGAAGGAATTGCAAGATGCTTTTTGGGATATGCCTGATAGTGTTAGGTTGACCCATCCTTTGATAACTGGAGTATGACAGGCCACAGGGGGATGAGGAAAGCCCTGTAATGATGCCTGGATTATGAGGAAAGTGAGCTGTATAGCTCTAAATGCTGTTTTCTACAGCCAGCTGTTTGAGGGAGTTACGTGCTCTACACATCCCAGTGTCTTTCCGTAGGAGTAGGAAAACACCAAAGGTGGAATTGGGGATGACAATTTTTTTTTTTTTTGCTATTAGAAAACCTGTTGTTTAAACCATTGTGTGCATTAGAGGAAGGGCAGGTGTGCCTGCCAGGGCTGTGGCAGTGCCTGTGTCACCTCACCGAGGACGAAGAGGTCCTGGAGCGCGGAGGTGCGCGGCGGGTCGGCGCGGAGGCGGACGCTGCAGACGTAGGTGCCGTTGTCCTCCATGGTGACGGCGCCGATGGTGATGCTGATGTCCCCGCTGTCAACGTCGCCGATGAACTGGATGCGGTGGTCGTAGCCCTCCCCGTACTGCACCAGCCCGTCGAAGTACCGTGACACCGCGTCAACCTGGCACAGACGGCGGGGACAGCGTCAGCCTCGCTTCCTTCTGTGTGCGTCCGCCATCGAACTCGATTCATCAGCCCACTCTTAAGGAGCAGCTTGGAAAAGAGGACCTTAAACTGCAGCCTTTTGGGAAAAGGCCAAGAAAAACGTAGGAATTCAAAAGGATCTCTGTTTCCATCTGGAATCCCCTTCTCACACCTTATCTGAAATCAGAGACAACTGATTTCCTTTGCTGGGGGTTATTCACCTTTCCTCACCATAAGGAGGGGACAGCATGAGACTTGTCTGAGACCCATGTCAGTCAAATTGCCCTGTGATTACACAGACTCTCCCAGCAAGGATCTCCAAATAAACCCTTGGCAGTTCTTGCAAGGAGATCTCCAAAGGCTGCTTCCCCTCTCACTAATTCCCAAGCACACAAGGAGAACTTCAAAAGTTTCTTAGCCTTCCAATACTTTTGGATGTATTGGAAGGTTAAGAATGGATGTAGGAAGACCTCAAGAATCTCTCCATGTACTGTTATCATCAACTTCAAACTTGTATAGTATCAAAGATATGTGTATTAGACATACACATTTATATATATACACATATATTTTTAGAAATTATCAGAGTGTTTCACATGTTTTAATAGATGTAAACCCCACATACATACAGTGATATATCCTCAGTAAACAGCTGTAAGACCAAGGGAGAGGAGGAGGAGGGGTGGGGACTTGCCCACTGTTGTGCGGTGGATTTGAGATAAATTGCATCTAGACTCAGCATTTCTGTCTGCACAGTTCTGGGATTAAAAAGAGTTTGGGAGAAGTCTTTTTTCTTCCAACATCCATTCCCACTCACAGCTTCCATCTCCTACCCCTTCTTGGATGCCCTCTCACCTGTTTCTTTATGCAGCTCAGTTTACCTTGCTATTGATTTTCTTCCAGACAACCAGGTCTCCTCTGTCAACAGCTGAGTTTGTTTTAAAATTACAGCGCAGGGTAGCATTTCTTCCTCTTGCCACTTGGATTTGCTTCTCAGGTGCTTCCACAATGAGGGTGTGAGCAGGCACCACAACTAGGAAGAGAGTAATTGCTGCACTCAGCAAAAATAACAACATCTGGATTCCATGGTAGTCTCTTTGGCTTCCTTACATGCCACAATAACGCCTCATTCCCTGCCATCCAGGACATTCTCCACTGAGCAGGAGGTGATGTGTGCTGGAGCTGATTGGCTCTGGGAAGCAGCTGCACAGGATGGCTTAGAGCTAAACTCTGCTCTCTGTTCCTTGCTTCCCTCTTCTTCGCCTACTCATATATTGCCATGGAGTTTAGAAAGATGCGTTATTTTTTTTCCTGAGCCCTCCTTCAGTGTGACTGACACCCTTTGACAGTTCAGAATGTACAGAGGGAGACAGATAAACAGATACTACAAGTGCATCAGCAGTCTTAAGGATTCAGGCTAAACTAACAAACTGATATTGTCAAATTTCAAGGATCAGGAAAACTGTCAAATAACTTGCCTCGATCCAAATCCATAGAAAAGTGACATTTTGTGCTAGGGAATCAAAACCTGTTCATGTTTTTCATCCCTGAAAATAGAAAAACCTAGAGAAGCAAACAGTGGTTGAAAGAAACAAAGTAAGAAAAGCTTTTAGTGGTTTTGAAAAATGAGTACGGTAGTTGTCACCTTTCTTCAAGAACTCCAGCTTCTGCCTCTGTGGAGCACAGGAATAGCTGAGAGTTGGATAAAACAGAAATCCCTCTGTGCCCTGGGGAAGCATGCAGGACACAGGACAGGTGTTTCTTCTTGTACTGAATTCCCTCTGACTTGCTCTTAATTCATCGTATCTTATCATTGCCTGGTGGGCAAGTCTTTGTTATTATCAGAATCGAGCTGGACATTTATGTCTGCCCTGCCATAGGTGACCTTCATGTCTGGAGGAATCCATGGTTAAAAACACCTGCTTTCTCCTAACAGTTGGTGTGGGTTCTGCGTTTGTCTTTGTTGCTTTGAGGTTTTGGTTTTGTTTCTTTTTTAATGAAATAAATTTCCATTATTTCCATCATTTGTGGAAATCATTTGGGGAAATGGTAAATGGCAAGGAAGGAAGTGCTGCCCAGAGGTGCTCCCATGGCAAAGAGGAAGGTGGTGCAGTGAGGAGGAAAGAGTAGGAGGGATTCCCCCCATGAGGGCCATGCTGCATGTGGTGGTGAAGATTTATTTCTGAAAGCTGAGTCACCGTTCTCTGGAGAGGATTAATCTGAAAAGTTGCCATCTAGCAAACTTTGGGTCTTCATTCTGCCATATCTTTGTCCAGGTTAGATCTATAAGGAAGTGTAATGTATAAGGGAGAGAGCAAAGGATTTCTAGATTGCACCTTGAGTTGCAAACTGGTTGTGAATACCCACTTTTTTAGACAGGAAAAGCACACAGCCCCCTGCACTATGTCAGAAACTGAGCACTGCCACATCCTTGACTAGTATTGAACACGAGTCCTGTAGAAAATAAGAGTGTTGGGACCCAAAAGGTTGTGTTGTCACTGCATTAAGAACCTGGGGTCACAATTCAGGTAGTTACACAGGGTGCCATGGGACAGTTGGCCCAGGGATCTGCTTTTAGCCTAAATTCCCTTCTTTCTGCATGCTCTCAACCACTGGGTTGTTCTATGGGCTCCCACAGTTTATTAGCGAGGTGTGTTTTCACCTTCTCCTCTGTGACATGGCAGGGGTGGCTTCTGTTCTCTTGAGGATTATTTCATTTCAACTGCTAACAGTTATGAGAAGGAAACCAGGGCAAAGTATTTCTAACATTTATTGCAGCCACTCCCAGATCTTTCCCTGCTCTGGAGCACCCAGGGCAAGGCACATGTTTGCATAGCTCCAGGGGTCTTTCTGACTGCTGTTTTCATATGCCCTCCTTATGAGAGACACCTGTGAAAGCTTTCTCCTTGCTTGTCGTGACTGGATAGAGATGCTTTCATGCATTTAGGTGAAAAGCACCACTGTCTGTACTAGGAGATGAAGCAAAACCAACTTCCTGATTTTTTTGTCGCTCAGAAACTGCTTCCACTGGGCTGGGATTCACTGGCAGGTCATAAATGCAGCCCTGGGGCAGAGAAGAAACCACCCAACCCTAAGACTTCTTTTCCTTCTTCCAATTGGGTGAGTCAAATCCTACAATAAATGAGATCTTTTTCTTCCAGGCATATTTGTTGCAGAGTTGGGGAACAGCTGAACCCAACACTGCATGCGAGGCACGGCCTGTGACACTCATCTGTCACCCTCCTGTCCCACTGCTTCTGGTGCTTTTCATTTGTCACCCACATCTCTTTCTGCCTCCCAGAAAGAGCTTCCCTCTCTCAGGGAAGCAACAGTTTCATTCTGGGATGTCACTGATTCAGGCTGATTTCCTCCTTCCCACTTCTCACCATGTTTCACTTCATAGTCAGCACATTTGAAAGTTGTGGTTTATTCTTCAAAGGTTGTTTTTTTTTTTTTCTGAGTGGAAACAGAATCTGTTCAAAATGTGTCTGAAGGGAGGGGAAGCAAATACTGAAAGAACTCCAAAAAATGAGAGAGGACAAATAGCCTACATACTGCCAGAGAGACAATGTCTAGATTTAAGTCCTAGAGTTACTTTTTTATGTGTTATCACTTTGTGTGTTTATAACATTTTAAAGAATGCGAGAGACATTTTGTATGTTTATAACATTTTTAAAAATGAGAAAGGTTTTCTCTCCCTCTGCTTAGAGATTTGTACTTGTACAAAAGAAGAAGAAAATCAAAGTGACATTTCTACTTTCACATTCCTTACTGAATAATTGTTAGCAGAGTGAAGGGCAACTAATACTATTACAGAAATATTTTGTTTGCTGAAATAAATCGAGATTCTGATCAAGCAAAAAAAAAAAATCTTCATTTGCATGTTTGTTTATCTCTGAAAAATTCCCCATACTTAATTTGCATAGCATGGAAGGTAGAATAATGAAAAAGGAGCGTAAATATCAATGCCATTGCACAAGTTACATAATGATCATCAAACCATGACCCAAGTCACATTTCTTGCATGTGGAGCCCATCCACTTTTTCTGATTACTTTGATCCTTGTGAATTTCCTTTTTGTGGGTCTTTGTTGAAGTGAGGTTTTCAGGATTTTTAGTTACAAAACTCCAAGCAATTCCCATGTGCATAGCTTGGTCTGAAGCCGGGAATAAAGTGTAGGAATGTTGATATAAGAATATGAGACAGGATAAAAAGCTGTGGAACTGAGACTTCCAGAGGAGGAAGTTCCTTCTTCAGAGATAAATATCGTATTAACAGAAACCAAGAAAACACTTTATGAAAAATAATTCCCAGCTTCATGAAGAACAGCATTTTCTCGCACTCCTAACAGTTTTGGGAGATGCCTGCGTGTGTGGACATTCAGCCCAGAGATGGTACACCCACTTGTCTGGCCATAAACACAAAGGAATCTTCTCTAAACAAGAAAGAGACATACAAAGCGCACTGGAGTCCTTGTACTTTGTAGTGCTGTTTCCTTCCACCCAACCCTTGAGGACATAACCAAATTAGTACTTACCTGCACTGAAAATGAGCAGCCCAAGTCCTTTCATTGCTGTCCCCCTCATCTCTCCTTTGTTTCACTTCAAGGTGCTCTTCCTTGTAATCTCCAGGAGGCTGGGTAGGTAATTGGCTTTCCCTGAAGGGCTGCTTTGCAGTGGCATGGCAGGTTTACTTCCTCAACCTCTTTTAAAGTGCTTCTTCCCCAGCCTGCCCCTCCCCTCCCAGCCAGAATGACAAGCCACATCACCAGTAGGCTTTGACATCACTTGCTGCTCTCTGTAAACTTGTGAGCTTCTTCCCTAGTGAACTTTCTCCCACAATTAAATGGCCTTTCCCTGTTTCTCCCAACACGCAGGTGCATGGAGCACAGGAAGGGTGTGGTGGGACTGGGGCTGGAGTGTGCAGTGCAGCTCAAGTCATGCATGTGATGACAGGCAGCTAGGGGAGGATAAACCTCATTTTTCTTAAATATTTATTAAGGAACAGAGTTAAAAATATTTATTAAGGAACAGAGTTAATAGGCTTTAAGGACCTGAGGGACCTAACTCCATTTACTCTAAATACTCATGCAAATACGAAGTTTATGGGAGTTGGATGATTAATGGGTTGTGTAAATACAACTGAGATGCATCTCAGCCAGGTTCTTACTCTCTCATGGCCACTGTTCCACTGCCCAGTGTGTGGTTTGCACAATAGTCACAGGTACCAAAGGTACTTCTCCCTCTCTGCTGCAGAAGGCTGGAAGATCACTTGTGGCTTGCAGCACTCTGGTGATGGGTGTGTCCAGGCATGGGCACTGCTCACATGCTCTGGGTGGGCATTTGGAAATCACAAATAACTGCTGCTATAATTGACTGAAGAGTAAAAGGGGGAATGATGACAGCTGAGGCAAACATCTGGCATTAGGTTTAACTGAGGGCAGTGTGTCTTCTAAACACTTCACTGCCATTAGGCAGCAAGAGATGTGTCCGTGTGGGATAGTCATCTATGCTCTATTTCTAGCCATTTGAGGGACAAATTTGCTTTTAGGGTGTGAGTGATCATTTCAGGCATCTAGATGGGCACATCATGTTCTTAGACATCATTTTGAGATTAAATTAGTCATATAATGCAGTATATTATTGATGAACTTCATTGAGGATTTTGAAGGAGGCTTGCTCAAAAGTAGTTGTCTACACTTGGTACCTGTACTTAGTGCAGTAAAGCAGGGCTGTATCTTGCTCTTGTGCTGACCTCAAGCTTGTGTGGTAAATCTGCCAGAAGCCATGCTGAAGATTTGCCTTTTGGTCTATATGGCAGTTGTTCAAAATACCTCCAAGACAATGAAACTTAGGAGTGACTGGAAATCCAATCCCTCTGATAGAAAGGACCATCTATTTGTACTTCTGTGCTTGATGCATAACCTCAGTGCTCTTCAGACTGTTAGCACAAAGCAAAAAAAAAGCATATAAAAGTACATAAACTTTATTCTTCAGGAATCTTCCAAATGAGGACAGCCAGTAGGAAAATTCATCCTGTTATGTCTCATCTTTGACCAGCTGCAGGAGATGGTAAGGACCCTGCAAAGAGAAGGGAAGGCATTTTCTAAAAACAGCTTGTTAACTAGCCTCAAAATGTTAACTGTAAATTACTTAAGATGGAAACACAGCTGGAGCAAGGTCAGTAGTCTCCTTTCTTGTCTTTGGAGCCCACAAGGATGAGGTTCTTAAATGTTTACCTCCCTTTAAGACTGTAGAAAGAGACATGCAGCTTCCACTTTTGATTTTGTTCCCATTTAATATTTTGAGTCTGATGAATAGAGGTAGTGACAGAAATGCTATCACTGTACACTATCTGCCTACACTTCCAGTGTTAATTCTCAGTTCTTCACATAACAGCTTCACATAACCAAAGGAAGTTAGTAAAGTGCAGAGACTATAACCAGCTTGGTCAGCTTGCTGTTATCTTCTTCATAGAATCATTAAACAACCTCTCTTTCCTCTCTTCTTCCCGGTAACTTCAAAACCCACTTGAGTGATTTCAGTTGAATTTGATGGACAGGTGGCAATCTTAAAGATGGGAAGTTCTTTCAGTCTCATAAAAATCAGTAATCCCAATCTGCTGGGATAAGAGAGAAATCTAGATGGTACCTCTTAGGCATTAATACTTGTCTTCCATTCCAGGAATCCGTGGTTTCACAACATGATGGCTCTCACCTTTTGTGCAGCCAGGCAGACAGGGAAATATGGTAGAGTGAGTAGTGACAGAGACTGCTTCATCTCGTGTTGGTATGAAGTGATTCACTGGTGGGGAAATTTTTACCCTGCCTCTATCAGCCAGTCTGATGCATCACAAGTAAGTTGGCACTGAGACGGATTGTATTCTGTTGTTTTGGAGACATGGCTAAGGCTGGTTTCCTAGGTATTGTGGAGAGCGTATGCTTCAACACCTGATACTTACATAAATCTGATATTAAGATGCTTGTTTTAGATGGTCTGTATTTATAGCTTTTGTTAGTTATTTAAACCTAGATTGGGAAAGGTATTTAGACACTTTTATCCTGTCACTTTCCCCTGACAACTCTCATTGGGGGTCTCAAGAGCAGACTGCTTTAATGTGGGCAATTTTAAGAGATTTTCTATTTGTTTCTGGGTTGATTTGCTTTCCCTGTCTAGCAGGAACTGCCAAAGCTCACAAGCATTGGCACCACAGCTAAAAGAGCTGCCATAGGTACCAGCAACACTGCCAAAGCTTTGCATATCAGCTTCTTCATCCCTCACCTGTGGGCAATGCAAACATTTGAAGTATTAGTTTTGCTGATGACTGCAGCTCTGGGGAATCTTTTTGCTGATATATAGGATTTTTAGGGGATATGATTATGTTATTTAAATAAAACTGCCATTGACATGAAAAGCTTTAGAATGAAACCAGGGTGATTTCATTGTGTTGACAAAAATACACACTCTGGTAAGACCTGCCCATGAAAGCCAATGAGGAATATGCATAGATAGCAGCATGCTAACACTATAAATCTTTGTAACTTCTGCCAGTAAAGAGAAGGAGGAACATCAAGATCCCTGAAGAGGATCTCTGAAGAGGACAGCACCTGTTTGTGTTCAGTTCAAGTTCATCTATGAATGAATACATTAATCACCAATGACAGATGCCCAACCTCTTCCTGCTCTTTTTGCTACATTTGCATATGCAAACAGTTATTAGCAAAGATTTCTGTCATCCCTGCCTCTCTTTATAGTCACCTTGATCCCAAAACCCAACAGCCTGTGGCCAGCAGTGAGAAGGAGCTGCTAGGCTGCCTGCTTTGAGTATTCTCCACAAGTCTGTAATCTAACAGGTCCTCTCAACATCTCTACATCTGAAGGGTTACTGTGGGCGTGGCAAGGTGCTTGGCTGCACTTGTATCCTAAAGATTCACAAATAGGATTTTCAGAAGCAGCTCAGTGACTTTTAAAAGCATCTGTTTTTATTTGATACCAGTGGTTATATGTGCTCCCACAACATTTAGATCCTTTGAAAGCTCTGTTCTCCAATACAAGGCAGTCTATAAGCAAATATCTTGAGACCACTTCTTGCCACAATTAGCAGTAATTAACAAGAACACATGGACACTGCATTGCAGAAGCAGCTAAAAATTGCATTGCCCAGAGGAGACATCTGCAGGATCAACACAATTCATCCTCTTTGTGTGCATGAAACTGTTAGGATCTCTTGAAGTCTTAATCAGCCATCCCTTCCTCCCCTTGCTGTGACACCCACAATTCAGTATACCACCTTCTCTTTTCCCTTCTTGCTCACCACTGTACCTGCATTAACACAAGTCTGGGCTGTGAGCACACCAAGACTTGAGTGGCTGTGCCCCAGCTCTTCCTTGCCATGATATGGCATCCCTACAGACACAGCTCCCATCCCCACATGGGGATGCAGCACTCAAACAAGAAGGAAGGGGGTGTGTAGGCCCTGCCCAGCATGATAAAGCACCAAAGGCATCTGTGGTATGACATAGGTGAGTTTCATTTTCCACTTCCTTTCTAGTTTGTTGGTTTGCAAAGGGAATTGACAGTGGGATGTTTTTGCATGACTCGCAACTGGAGCCCCCAGTACAGATAAACAGCACTCAGACTTTTTCTGGTTCTGTCCTGGGCCAGCCTGACCCATGAACTTCCCTGAGGGGTCAGGAGGTGGGAACTAGAGGCTTCCCTTTTGAAAAGACATCAGAGAAGACACAGTGTGGCTCAGTCCTAGCTCTTCTAAGAACAAAAACCAGCTGGTCTTTTATTTATTCTCAATCTACCTTCTTAAATTCATTGCCCTTTGTTCCATTACTACAGGCCTGGGTAAGATGTCTCTCTTCCTCTTTGTTATAAAATCCCCTTTAAGTACAGAAAGGCTGCAATAAGGTCTCTCTAGAGCCTTCTCCAGGATGAACAGACCTGATGCTCAGCCTTTCTCCATAGAAGTGTTTCAGCCTTCTGATCAACTTTTACCCTCCTGTGGACCCTCTTCAAGAGGTCTGTGTTTTGTGCTAGGGGCCCCAGAGCTGAATGTTGTACTCCAGGTGGGGTTTCACAGGATCAGAATGGGACAGTCCCCTTCCCTGATCTGCTGCTCACACTTCTGATGCACTTCTGATGCATCTGGTTGGCATTATGGGCTGCAGGCGCAGCTGGATCACATCCAATCGTTCACACACCAATACTCCCAAATCCCTCTCCTCCAGGCTGCTCTGGATTCATTCATCCCCAGCCTGTACTGATACTGAGGACTGCCCCAACCCAGATGTAGGATCTTGCACTTGGCCCTGTTGAATTTTATGAGGTACACATGGCCCACTTCTCTTTGTGGCATTCCTGCCCCTGCTGAATCCAAGGCACCACTCAGCCTGGTGTCCTCTGCGGAATTCCTGAGTGTGACTCAGTCTCACTTCCTGTGTCATATTAAAGATATTGAGCAGTACTGGTCCCAGTGCAGTGCAGGATCCTGAGGGCCACCACTTGTTGATAATCCCCATTGGGATGCTGAGACATTGACTGTATTTGGATCCCATCCAGCCACTTCTTTATCCATCAAATAGTCCATCAATCAAATCCACCTCTCTCCAAATTAGAGGTAAGACTGTTGTGTAAGACCATGCCAAAGTCAATACAGAAATCCAGGTAGTTGACAGGTAGCTTACTTTCCATTAGGTTGGACTGGGTTCAGCCTGCACTGCATTTCCCAAGGATATCAGAGGTCATACCTGCATTTCAGTTTGTGCCTGGTGGGATCCCCGCTGCCTGGAGGCTCTCTGCAGGTCCAGCCTCACTGGCTCTGGACTCTTTCCTGCAACTGAGAAATGAGGATCCAGCCCACAGCAGGGAAGGAGTTAAGTGCTTGACCAGCTGCTGTCTGTGAGGCACTGAATTCCTTCTCCATGCAATCCAGCAGCCAGTGTCAGGACAGCTATATTTAGAAAGCTGATAAAGGTTTGGTGCCAACACTTGTCCTGCCCCTCGATGAAGAAGCAGTAGAGAGAGTGAGAGGGGGCAGCTGGTTGCTTTCCCCCCAGTACTGTTCCTTGCTGTCTTCAGTGGACTCCTTTGCTGTGCCACCAGCAGAGACCCCCAGTGGAGCCATCAGGCACAGGGGTAAGTTGCTTTCCTTGCTTGCTCACTCTTGCTCACCCGTCTCCCTGCTCACTGCCCCGTGAGCGACCACGCGGCCGCCATCCTCCGGCCTGAGCCTGGCTGCCGGGCCCATGGGAGCTGGATCCTGTGGCTCTGAGGCAAGAGTCCCTCTGCCTGGGCCAGGGCAAGTGTTGGCTGCTGTGTTTCCACATTCCTACTGAGCTGTGGTGCCTCACTCTCCCACAGCCAGGGTGAGAACAGCAGCCTCCACACAAAGGATTACAAGGACAAAGTCCCAAGCCTTCATGCTCCTTTGGCCTTAAGCTTTAGGAGCATTTCATTTTGGGGACACGAGGTCTCATGTTTCTTGCCCCGGCCCTCCTTCCAGTCTGGCTCTGGCTGTGTACAGCTCCTTCCAGCCACCACGCGCAGTCAGGCGAGTATAGAGTTTCTGCCCTGCCACCCCTTCCTTCCTGGCCTTCCAGCTCCCTTACTCACAGGCAAAAGAGCACTGGCACTCACTGGGCAGCAGCCAGGGAGCTGCATGAGCCTCTGGGAATGGCAGGTGCGTGCAGGAGGAGCCCGTGCAGCCCCTGTGGAAAGGGCTCCTCACAGGAGCGAAGTGTGGGAGGCCCTTCTGCTGTACCCGCCTGCCGCCTGTGCCCCAGAGCCAGGGCATGGCCTCCTGAGCAGCCCTGTGTAATGGCTCTCCCTGCTGCCCTGCTCCTTGCAGCGGATCCCCAGCAGCCGCCATGGCCAGCGGCAGAGATTCGGACAGCGAGCCGGCGGTGCCCGAGGAGGAGGAGGAGGAGGGCCCGGACGTGAAGGCCGTGCAGGCCCATTACCTGCGCAGCCCCTCGCCCAGCCGGTGAGTCCGCAGGCTCTGCCACGGCTCCTGGCAGCACGTGGCAGCTGCTGCCCTTCCCTGCTTTCCCTCCCTTCCTCTCCTCCGCACTGGCACTTGGGCCCGGCTGAGCCTGGGGATTCCCTGCCCTCCCCGAGGTGGGGTCAGTGTGCCAGCCCAGACAGAGCCTGCAGAGACAGGACTCCTGCACTAATTAATCCAGCCTGCTGGGAGAGTGCACAGCAGGGATAAACTGTGGGAAAGATTACTCTGGGCTGGTGGTGTCCTCTTCACTGTCTCACCCTCTCATACCCCTATACTGAAACTTCTGATCCAATTTTCTTTGCAAATTCAGCTTCATCTTTATGTCCATTGTAAGGACTTGTGGATTTATTGAATGTTGATATTAGGCTTTGCCAGCCCCAGAAAAGACCAAGGGTCTTGGGATTTGGGTCTGATTCATATCCAACTTTAGCTACAGGCTTCAGGCACTGAAAAGGAGGCTGTCACAGCGCTAGCACAAATCGAGTTACCTCAAGCAAAACAAGCATGATTAGATGTGTTTTCTTCTAATACAAGGAAAAAATACACCCCTTTGTTCTCTTTTCCTAAAGTAAAATGCTCTGCAGGGCTTTCTGTAACCTTTGAGATGCTGTAGCTGAAAGCAAGGAGTAGGGATTGAGTTTGAAAATAACCTTCCCCAGTGTCCCTCAGCAAGTAGGAGGTTATGAAAGGTTTCCTGCTAACGGTGGGACACTGCAGAAAAATTGAGTACTTATTTAATTTAACCACATGCATTTCAAAATTGTTTAGGAAGATCACTGAGCTCACATCAAGTAAAATTATGTATTGTAAAATTATGTATTGAGCTCTCTCCTGCTGCTCATCAGTCACTCAAAATGAACAGAAACATGTCTCCAGTTTATTCCCTTCCCCTTCCCCTTCCC